AATCATTTTTAGCTAACAGGGCGAGACAAAAAACAGTAACCCCTGAAGAAAATATGGCAATTATAATAAACTATTTTGAAAAATCATTTTGAAGCATCAATTAGAAAGGCTTCGAGAGAGTTAAATTTGACATATAATGCAATTCAAAGAGTTTTAAAAATTAAAAAATTTCACGATTATAAAATACATAGTGTGTAACAGTTAAATCCTGGAGATTTTGAACGGCGAATAAATTTTATTTCTCAGTTCTTAGTTGCATTAGATGATGATTTGTATAACCACACTTTGTGAACAGACGAAAGTCATTTTATTAGTCATGGCATTTCAAACCGGAAAAGTACTCATCATTGGTCGGATGAGAACCCACATAGTATTAGAGAAGTTCAAAGGCAGGGTCACTTTAGTGTCAATGTATGATGTGGAATTGTAGGGCGCCATTTCATAGGTCCATATTTTTATGATGTCTTAACGGGACAAAGGTATTGCAATTTTCTTGCAAATGAAATTCCTATTTTTATAGAAAATGTGCCACTTCAAATTAGGAGACACCTGTGGTTTCAACTGGCCTTACCATAATGCTGCAGTTGTTCAAAACTATTTAAATTTGCACTTTGAAAATAAGTGGATAGGTACTAGTGGCCCTTTACAATTTGCTCCGAGAGCGCCAGATCTAACCCCTCTTAATTTCTTCTTGTGGGAGCCCTAAAAAATATTTTGTATAAAACTAAAATAAACAGTATTAATCATTTGAAGCAGAAAATCACTACGCCTTGTCCTGAAATACGTGGCAATATTTTAAAAAAGTAACGTCCAGTGAACTAAGAAAACGTTACAAATTGTGTTTAAATAATAATGTTGCTCACATTGAACACCTATTAAAACATTAAGTATTGTGTTTATTTATTTTTATGTTTATTTATTTCAGTTGATATTCCTTTTCTATTTACGTATTTCAGTTAATATTCTTTATATTGTTTGGTCTCCCTCATATTATGATAGGTGGGTTTATTCTTACAAATTATATAATTGTTGTATACACATTTGTGTTATTAAATTGTTTATAGTGAATACGTTTTTCATTGTAAATAGAACCATAGTTATTGATATATTGAACCAACAAGAGCATTGAAAGAGATTTATATCGCTGATTATGAGGTTGAGAAATTCACTAGAGAATTGTCCGTAACTTTTTAAATAATGGGTACATAAAAAAATGTTATAGAGGAAAAATATTCAAAATTAAGGGATTTTTATCGTAACATATTAAAAAATGTATGTTGCTGGAAAAACATTTTTTGAAGCGCCGCGACGCCTAGCGTCGTAAAGATAATTTCTGTATTTCTGCTATAACTTCTAGTAAAAGTAAGCAAAAACGAAATAGTTACTAAAATAATTTATTTTTCTCGGCCGTTTCCCAGAAAAATTCATTTCTTCGGTTAAATCGATCACCCTGTACATGTCTTGTACGCTAATAATCTCATAAAAAAATCGGAGAGTTTAAATCAGGAGAGCGCGGTGGCTAAGGTGCCGTTCCTCCTCAACCAATACTTCTTGGACTTCGTTACAGTAATCTCATACACTTTTGTAGCTGTTAGCGTAAGATTGATAAACATGTGGATACATAGTAGAAATAAGGCACCTGTATCAATTTATCTGTCAAACTAAGTGTTGTCTCAATTTCAGCACAGTAAATAACAAACGAAAATAAAAAAAACTATTAAATGTCCACCCTGTATAGCATGGGGAAAGTTGTGGCTTTGCGATTAGATAACTGTTCCACCGAAAGAGTACTTAATTCTTATTTAGCGAAAGTTCATCTTGCAGTTGGGACATTTTTTAAGACTCTGTGTGGGATGTATGAAATACGTCGACGATTTTCTGAGAACGGCAACCAGTATGTAGGTCTTTGACTGATACTGACGCCACAGTTAGTTCATTTGCTTTTCCCAAAAATATTTCGGAGCTACCTATGCGTCATATTTGTTCTATTTAATATCTCTTGAAACTGATGCGTATCTCGTTATACACGGTGGTCGACATATGATTGATGTTGGGTTGGCTCCGGATATGGTTGGACAGTTCAAGTAGATTATAAATGTGAGAAGCATGATGAGAGAATATTTTAATATTTTGGATTAATAGTTTGTTTCAATGAAAGATAGCAATAGGATTTGGAACTCCAAATTTTATAAAAACGTACCAAAATCTAATGCCAAACGTTCTTCAATTCGCTTTCCAAATATGTGGAGGACTGAAGAGATTATATTTTCTACCACTTAGATACCTACCAAGTGTCGGATAGAGTATACCAAGAATAAATTCAAGACAAATTCTCTTCTAGAAATGCCAGTTGACTATTTGGTACAATTTTCTAAAGAAAAGTTCTAGTTCTAGTTCTCTTTCTAGTTTGGTGTACCAACGGCTCAAAAATAGACATAGGAACTGAAGCTGATGAGGTTCAGAAAAGTGCCTCTTAGTCTAAATGTCATGTTTTGGTATCAGGATAAGAAAACCAGCGATACTGTGTAAAATTTGAATGAATCAAGAGTATCTAATCCCATCTGTAGCTCTACAGGGATAGCGTTGCTAGTTAGGTTATACAGATTCTTGTGCAGAAACAGGTGAATGAAGATGCCTAAAATTGGTCTGAAAAAAGTCTTGAATGAAGGTAAGTAATAAGATAAATTACTTACTTACCGTCGAAGGATTAGATGTCGTATCCACTGAAGAGTATAACGATACACCAAGACTGCTAATTAGACTTCATCTGAATAAGAATGACCTAGTAGTCTGAAGCTGATGAGGTTCATAAAAATTGCCTCTTAGTCTAAATGTCAAGTTTTGGTATCGGGATAAGAAAACCAGCGATACTGTGTAAAATTTGAATGAATCAACTAGGATACCTAGTCCCATCTGTAGCCCTTTAGGGATAGCGTTGCTATTTAGGTTATAAAGATTCTTGTGCAGAAACAGATGAATGAAGATGCCTAAAATTGGTCTGAGAAAATTCTTGAGTAAATTCTTAAACTTACCGTCGAAGGATTAGATGACGTATCCACGGAACAAGAGTATGACGATACACCATGACTGCTAATTAGACTTCATCTGAATAATAATGATCTAGTAGTCAGTGTAAATTCTTTCAGTAGGAAAATAAGATATATTGTTCATGTGCGAATATTTCAAAACCAGAAGCCAGTAGCTATGTGAAAGTATTGTAGAACCTATTTAGAAGATTAAAGTTAAACAGTAATCTAAGATCATATCATAACTTGAATATACACTCAATACTACTTAATTTTTTAAATTACATATTTTAAAACAAGATTCCAGAAAAATTTTTTGAGATGATCAAGCTTTTGTAATGATTTCCTTAATGTGTCGTTTACAGCAAAAACTTCATTAGATTCGAAATGTGCTGCTTGAAGCCTTTAATGGGTGTAGGGTAAGGTTAACCAATTCAACAAAAAATTCAATTTATCAGAATCCCCTTTGATGCATGGCATAGGTTTTGTTTCTTTCTGTTAGTTCCTTTATTGGTGATAGTATTTTAATTTGAGCTATTTTACAGCATACCCATGTTAGAAAAATACGGAATGTGCAAGATTACGTTGCCAGAGCAAAATTGTAGCTGTAACCTTAATTTTTTTTGGTAATCTAAATTAGTTTCTCGGAGATTCACCATTATACTGTTGACTGTACATGTATTAGGATGCACCTGTGGATAAAAGCATCAAGTAATTGTATAGGAGGAACAACTTGTTTATATTTGTAAACTGAGATTACACTTCCTGGTAAAGAGGATCGCCTATGAAACAAGTGAGCCATAATAATTACTAAAAAATGTGGTATTGATCGGAGACCAAGACCAGATGAATGAGTCAGAGTTAGATAGATAATTCCACAGGTAAAATACTCCATTAGAGAAGTTTCAGCGACTTCTGAATCTAAAACGTTCTCTTTACTTATGAATTAGTTCGTCTTCACTCAATAGGAACATACAAGACAGTAAGAGGAGAAGCCTGAATAAGTTCTTCTCGAATTCTTCTCTGATTTAGAAGCGACAGGAAAAGTTCATTTTATCTTTCCTCATCAGTAGAGGTAGTAGCTATCTAGTAAATTTCTTCTCTGGACAGATTCAAGGTGATGCTTATCGCCAGGAGACTAAATTAACGCATTATATTCCAGTTTTGGACGGACTATATTGTACGGATAGTGAAGCCTGTAAGTTCCAATATGGAGAACACTGCACTTTGATATATCGATGAGTAGTTTTAAGTTGTTCCGATAACGCTGAAGTGATTGGAAACTCACCAAAGTATTTGAGAACATTTTAGGATCATCTGCAGAGAAAGTCTGTCCATGTTAAGCATCAATTGTAAAGAGGATGTAGAGTAATGGACCCAGATCAGACCCCTGAAGCACGCTAAAAACAACAAGCTGAGAATGATCGTGGGAAACTCTCACTGAGAACTGTCTATTAGACATATACGCAAATAATCAGTCTAAAACAGCTCCTAATTGGAAGTTTATGGAATAGTCTCCGTTGCACTGTGGACACTGTTGATTTCACGTATTCTGATACAACTGCGGATAAAAGGATCAAGTAATCGTGTGCACGGAACATCACATGAACTGTTTATATACGAATAGAGATTACAATTTATGAGAAAATGGATGACCGACCAAATAAGTGGGCCATAAAAATAATCTCGAAAAAATGTGGCGCCGATCGGGGCCCAAGTGCGGAAAATCCCACCTTATCGCGGACTGGGACAGAAATCTCATCTGGTCCCATCTTATCGTCAATTGTTTCGATCAACCGCGGACCCCAATCAGATGGACAGATAAAACTTTTAATTGTCGCCGGTCCCGATGATCTCGTTCGCGCAACCGCACCGCGTCTAACTTCACAGGTAAGGGTAGGTACAGAGTGGGGGCAGCTCGTGGTACTGGCAGCCAGCGCTGGCATTTTATTATCAACGTCTACACCGCGGTAGTGCAGAGAGCGCGTACAGATCTTCCCTTCCCGGCAGCAAAAAAATCAAGTCGTCGTTCGGCCGTCGATTGTCTTACGCCGATGAGTGTTTCGGCATCTATGCAGCAGGCGCCCGACACCGTCGCTTGTTTATGTTCTTTTGTTGGTGGTGAGTTTTGAGTGGTTTGCGTTTCGACTGTTTTCCTGGATCTTGTGGTGCGACAGTGACTGACTGGATTGAGTTGTGCGCCAGTGTCCGCCAAGGGACGTATCTCAGTGTTTTTTTTTTGTTTTGGCGATTTTAGGATGCGTTTGGGTGATGCTGGGCTCGGCACCACTCGCCTCTGACCTACTGGATGCAACCTTATGTGTAAGTGAGTAATTTTTGCATTGCTAGATGCTGCGCGGTAAAAAGTTGGAACCGGTGAAATGAAACTCAATCTGTTTTTTTTTTTTTGAGAAATGAAAATGATTAACCTTAAATTAACACCTTCGAATTCTTGAAAATCAGGAAACAATTGCTAACGTGCTGCTGCATATTTCATATGCAGAATTATGAAGAATGCCATAAAAATATATATTTTAAAAAAATTATTGTACGTCTTGCAATGTGTGTCGAAAATATTATTGTGTTGTTAAATATAAAGAAGAAATGCTAATTTCCTGCAAAATTTTGAAACAATGTTTTTTAAAATGTGGTAAAGGAAAATTCTTTAAAAATTTTATAAATGCAGTAAATAAGAATAATAAGGGAAACATGTAGAGTTTAATTCAAGAAATTTAAAATATCTATATATATTTCTTAAATAACTGAATTATATTTTTACTACTTTATACCAATAAGAAAAACGAATAAAATCAATCATTAATTAAGATACTTTTACTTTCAATTTAGAAATATTAAAAATAAAACATTTAAAAGAAAAATTTTTAAAAATGTGCTAATATTTCACGTTTCCGTGTCTAGTTCGCTTTTCCCTTTATTATGTTTTAAGAATGTGCAAATAAAACGAAACTAATTCCAGTTAAATAAACACAAAAAAATGAAAAATATACTTTCAATGGAATAGTTTTGTTTAATTTATAAAAAAAATTCTACGGCAAATTGCATATGTAAAACAAATATATCAGAATAAAACGCATTTGTGAATGCATATCAGCATTTTTGTATATAATTTGGAATAAGCAATTTCAATGGGTTTTACCCAGATTACTAAAAGGAAGCCTACATGACAGGATATTTGAGGAAAAAGTATAAATATAATAGAATATCCTCAACGATATTTATATTTCATTTAAAAAAAATATGGAAACTAGAAAATGGAATGGGATTAAAGTGAACACACTGCATTATCGTTGATATATAGTCAGTCCATATTTACGAAAAGATACTATACACAACTTTTTTGAAAAACGTCGAATTTTCTATTATTTCACTAATCTTTTGAATTTAAACAAGAGTCTCACATTATGAATATACAAAAAAAGAAGTATATTTAAGAATAAGTGAATTATATTCTCTCTCGACGACATCCTTGTAAATAGTCGATGTGTTGAGTAAATTAATCTCCTTTATCTCTGTCCTTGTCTATCATTCCCTGGATTCCTGTTCTATAAAGATAAGTGCAAGTGGAAATCCCTTAGCACTTCAGCAAGGTGGCGAACTTGGCCTCATTTCAACCCTGTCACTATGTAAGGTTCTATTTTCAATCACAAATACTGTTAGATTTATGACTGGAGGTTTATGTATGCACATAAATTGAAGGTTATAACTAAAGTGATATTCTAGAAACAAAATTTTATTCTTAAAATCATTGATATGATGCTTCCGATTTGTAGTACTCACAATCATTTTGTTTTCTACATTAAATTTTCTAGTAACTAAGAATATTGAAACCAAAGTTTACAGAAGTGTTTCATAAAAGTTATGAAGAATTCCGTTCTTAAAAGAAAACTGTTTCAATTTGGCTTTAATTGTTATTTATTTTACCATTTTTGATAGGTCATGAATATAGACGCTATTATTGTGTACATATTGCGGTTTTTGTGAATACTATTACAAGCAGTAAAATAAATCGCGAACTATTTAAATCTTTGCCACGACATTTACCTACATATAGCGTCTTGTAACAATTTTTAAAATTACACGCTTACAACTTCACAGAAAAAATTATCACGGATGTATGTATTATTGTTGAGCGAACAACGAAATTCGCGTTGAAGATGGAGGGTATGGTGAATACTAAAATGAATAATTTTATGAAAAATTGAACACAACGCTATATTTTATAACCCTCACTTTTCCTCCTTCGATAATTTATAGTCGTGTTACAATTTAATTGTTTCAATTCAGTTCATCATAACATTTAATGTAGTAATAATTCATATCATTTACTTTATCTGATATACTAATAATAAATTTGTTACCATCTCGATATCTACGTTCTGAACCATTCATAAGCCCATTTTCAATACGGTGTTACACTCTCTAGTTACTTTGCCGATTGATATGCAAATGACTATGAAAAATTACAAGCCTTCTTCCAGCTTGCTAAGGGAAAAGGGGCCTCGCTAAACTCGTGCTCGCATACATTAGAGATTAGAAAGGGTTGCGTTAGAAACTGGGGTTATTCTCACATGTACACACACACACACATACACTTTATAATACTTAGATATATATTATACCAGTGCTTGCAAAAGTATATATGCTTCTTTATTAAAAACTACATACTAAAAAATACTTGAAGATTTATATGAATCATTTAATTGTTTTGGAAGTTGAGACGATATAAAAGTAATGTAACATCTATTAATATTAAGGTATCTATTAATTGCACTTGGAAAAACAGCTACTTGACAATCATACTGCAGAAATGACTTGGCTATGTTGTAGTGGGTGTATTTCGTGTTGATTTTTGTCCAAAGTGATGTTAATAACAAAAATAGGAAATACTTTATTTAAATCAGCAATACAATTATGTCAATTTTTTACTTGTACCAGTTGCAATTTTTATTTACAATTTTGCTTAGTTAATTATTAGTGGCTAGCTTTTTGAAAAAAATCGTTTAGAATGCTCCCTTCTCGCAAATTATCTTCTTTTAATTTTTCTATTTTTCACAATTTTATGAATTAACTTTAGATGTTCGTCAGTAATCGAAATGGTTATTTTATTAATTAATTTAAAATAGTCCCTACAAAATATCTTAGAATTTTACTATCAATTATAAATAAAATAAAATTAACTCGCTACTGATTAAATATTGTTTTCTTTTCGCGGCGATAAACTCTTATCGTATAGAGATATTAGTGACAATTATATCAATATATGGATTTTTCTGCGTTATTATTTTCCAATCTCGTACACAAAAAAATAATTTATGTATTTAACTTTAAATATTTCCCTAATTTAGTTTTATTTATTCCAAACTGTGATCGTGATAAAGTAGTAAATTATAAATTACAATATGCCGATTTCAATAGAAAGAAATACTTAAATTAAGTTCCTATTGATTAATTAAATACTGTTTTCTTTTAGCAATGATAAATCGTTGTCAGCTGAAGATATATTACTAGTTTACTAGCGACAATTACATCAATTTATGGACTTTTTTTACGTTTATAATTTTCAATCTCGTATAGATAAAAAAATCGTAAAGTAATTAATTTATTTAACATTTAACCTCAACTTTTCAACAAGTTTATTTATGTTATGTACTCGCATAAGCGCAAAGCGAATTATAATGCGGTCAGATAGTAAGCCGCAATAAAAATTAAAAGCAACCCACAATGTGGCTTGAAAAATATGGAATCTCAAGTATTCAGTTTGATATGCAAGAGTAGTTTTATAAACCAATGATAAATAAAGTTTTTAGGCCTTTAGAATTAATAAATCTATTATATAATAGTGGATTAATCTAACATGAGCCTTATTTGCGCCACTTGTTAGATACTTTTTTTAATTATTTTCTAAATTTTGGAAATATCATATTTACTAACATATTCCCTTTACAGGAGCAGTTAAGATCTAGTTTTCATTCTTCAAAAAGACCACTCGACTGCATTCTTGGTCCAAAGAAGAGCCCTTAAAATTTATACGTTTTCTTATTCGAAAAATCCGACTGTTAACTACCAAGGGTCATTTCTCGAGATCCTTGCCAGATAATTTTAATTAACTTTTAAGCTTTTAAATATCTTTTAAGACCCCGCTGGTACTAGTAAATTATGTACGTGCCTATTCCTTTTAAATAATTATCTATCCAACACCAACAGTTATTTTCGGGGATTCAATGGACAAAATAAATGTCAGCCCGTGTACCCTGCGTGCCCTTTCATAACTCACGAGGTCTACGAAGGGAAGGGATTCGGTAAATAGAGTTTTCTTTTTCTTTTTAGTAAAATATAAGAATTCTCGAGTTCTATCTTAAATGTGGAAAATTTACTTTACCCAAAAAAGTCACACCACTTCATTTTTATTGTAATTTGTGTAATACGGAAGATTTATTTGTGCATTTTTAGGCTAAATACCGGCACTATCAGCTTAAGAATTTACTGATTGAGCACAGCGGAAGATTAAAATTAATTAACTTTATAGTACACCATACAACTTTACGTTTCTGTATCATTGAAATTTGTTTACAGCTGTTTTCTGTAATTATGATATAGGAATGATATCTGAGATAATTTTTGAGCAATAAATATAAATAAAGCAATAAATTGTACACACAATTCGTACACTTACTATTATAATATAATAATAAACGATTATAACCAAAATAAACATTCTAGAATTCTTAAATTACTTAGATGAAGGCGATAGAATTGTCAGAGTCAATGTAAGAGACCAATAACATTTAACAGCTACTCAGCAAGGGCGGGAAATACTTTCTAGTGTACTTTAGATGTGTTCAATGGAATTACAATCAGGCGAATGTGTAAGCCACATTTCATTAAAAGTTATTGTAATTCATGGTGGAAATTAAGGCTTCCAATATTTTTCTTAGAGTTTCAATATTATGTATATACATATATGATGAACTTTAATGAATGGGACTTGTAATCTGACATACCATTAATTCAGTTATAATTTTACTATACATGCAGAATTTGTTAAAAACAATTAAAATTAGGTTATAAATAATGCTTCCTTTGCAATTTGCTTGACTACGTTGCGATGCCATTAATTATTACGTGACGCCACACACATCCAGAGCCTACTACGTGAACTTGATAGCTACAAATGTACGAACTATTTACACTAGTTAAAAAATTATAGCAATGTTATAATGTACTGGTGCAAACAAGATAGACATAATTTGACTCTTTTTGTGCAGTTCATTTTTAATACTTAGATTTAAGTAATACTTGTATCTA